ACTTGCGAAGTCTCCCAAATGAAGGACAAAGGAAAAAAACAGCAGGCCTAAAAACATATATAGCAGATTAACAGTTTAAAATAGTCTTTAAAAATGAAAAAAACTAAATCTAGCAAAGACCTGACACCCGAGAGATGCACCTGGCCCTGCAGTCTATCCATCAGACTGAAAATCACCAACAGTAGGTCAACTGCAATCACGTGAGTCATTAAGGGTCACAGCAGCAGCCAACGTGTCATGAAAAGAGGCAAAGACATTCACTTTGCCACTTTAACCAGAGAGAAACAGATTAACAGATGATCAACAGTCTTGTTCCCTGTGTGGCTGATTTCTCAGCGAAACCCAGGTGGATAGATAACTTGGAGAATGAGAAACAAGGGAAAGAAGTTAAACACAGATGAAGACAATTGGGACAATCACAAAGGAGGAAGTAAAACTAACACAGAGCATCAAAGTGAAGTATTAAAACATGAAGCTTAACACAGACTCACTGAGATAGAACAGGAGGACAGTAAAACTGATACAGAAAGACAGAAGGAAGAAGGGGCTGCATATTCCACAGAAACGAAATCATGACTCAAATATGTAATCCTTCAAAAAACTAGAATCAACCAAAAATCTCAATCCTAGCAATAATTTAAAATTAAAATGATTCCAACAGCAGTAAAATCAAACAGAAGTCAAAACATAACGATAATAAACACATCTAAAGCTTCGATGAACATACCACAAAACCCCTCATGACATTGCAGTAACACATTACAAGTTGCTACTGTCTAAATGAGCTTTTAAGTTGCAGTCTTGCATGCTATCGCCACAGGTCTAAGGTGTTCTGTTTGCACACGATGGCTGACAGGATGCAGAGGGTAGCGTCTCGTCTTGTGAGAAACGTACTTCCACTCTGCTGTGGTTTTTACCCCATAAAAGGTGGCCAGAGTTACTTCTGTTTCATGTGTGAATTTAGTGGTTAGATTTAAAAGTTCTTTGCTTTGAGAAAAGAACTGCTGTATCATAACAGTACCCAAGCTGAATAACTGAGCAATAACTGAGGTTCAAACAATATGATAAATAATTATAAATAGTTATTTATATTACTATAACTAACACTGAATTCAAAGTTATTTATAGTAATAGGACGCTGCTACTTCTGTGTATCAACCTGAACTTACTGAATGAAAAGCTCCATACTGGCTTATGTAACCTTTCAGACATGCTGTATTTTTCCACACAGAGTATTACTTTGATGGTACTTTTAACATGTCATATGGTTAGATTTCTCTAGAGTGAACAGCTGCTTAACAATTAACGATTTATTTATATTAGATAGGATATTTCTGTATATATATCTTCTGTAAGCTCGATTCCACCACCTGGCCGGGGCCTTTCTGTGGGGAGTTTGCAGGTTCTCCACGTGTTTGCGTGGGTTCTCGCCTGCTTCCTCCCACAGTCCAAAGACCTGCAGTTAGTGAGGTTAGGTTAATTGGTAATTCTAAAGCAGCAATAGGTGTGGATGTACATCTCTCTATGTGTTAGCCTTGCGACAGGCTGGCGACCTGTCCAGGGTGTACCCTGCCTCTCGCTTTCTGGTAGCTGGGACAGGCTCCAGCCCCACCCTGTGACCCTGACAAGGATAAGCAGAAGAGGCTGGATGGATGGATATTTTCTGTATATTATTATTGCTAGCACATGCCCATACTACATTAGTGTTGGGCCTTTTTGCACTGATGAATAGGAGCGGTAGATTTTAATAATATGCTTTTAAAAATTTGCCCATTGATGACATAAATTAGATGTGGATATAAAGGAGATGTTTTTGTCGTAAAATGAAAATAGTACAATACGTACAATAAGGTGTTAAAGGTGCATAAAGGCTAAAAACAAGTCGTTTTCATCTGTTGTTAGGTGGCTGCAGGGCAATGAGATGACATCATAATACAGCATGCATAATTCAACTTCTGTGAATACAAATTAAATGTTACTGTCACGAAATAATAATAGTATAAAGCATAAATGCTTAATACTGATCATTTTTCCTCATTGTTGATTGGCTGCGAGGCAACATTTTGATGTCATACTGCCTGCAATAGATAAGAACCTTCAGGGGTCTTTTTGGATGTACTTTTGGTTACTCCAGTCCTGACCCTGTGGGATGAGTTAGCTATCAAAGACACACAGATTTTATTTATTATAACAAGATCAGAAAATATTTTGTTAACCAGTTTAAAAATCAAATTTCACATATAAAAATCATGAATATTTTACAGGTTAAGCTATAAGGATCGAGGCTTGTTTTTAATCATCTTGGTTTGGCAGCTCCTTTGATCACTGTTGAAAGTTATTGATTCTATAAAAATTGCAGCATATATCTAAAGTCACTTTTTTGTATGGTTTTTCATATACAATCATTGTTCACTACGAAGAGGGAAGAATTGAGGCTTGATTAGCACTGTGTTGCTGCAACAAGGTGGCAGAGATCCTCAGTGGCCATTGTTGCGTCACTGTCTCCAAGATCATCATCTCACGACCCAACCAGAAACCGTGGATTACTGCGGAAGTGCGTGCACTTCTAAGGACCCGAGACTCTGCCTTCAAAGAGGGAGATAAGGTGGCGCTTAGAAGAGCGAGGGCTGAACTTTCTCGGGCCATCAGAGAGGCGAAGCGCGCACACGCCCAGAGAATCACAACCACTTTAAGGACAGCGGCGACACACGACGCATGTGGCAGGGCTTACAAGCCATCGCTAACTACAGGACGACACCACCTGCCTGTGACAGTGACGGCTCCCTCCCAGATGTGCTTAACAACTTCTATGCTCGGTTCGACAGGCAGAACGACGTGGCGGCGAGGAAGACCACCCCTCCTCCGAACGACCAGGTCCTGTGTCTCACTACAGCTGAGGTGAGGAAAACTCTACACAGAGTCAATCCACGTAAAGCTGCTGGACCAGACAACATCCCAGGCAGAGTGCTCAGAGAATGTGCTGATCAGCTGGCAAATGTTCTCAACGACATCTTCAACATCTCTCTGAGCAGTGCCGTTGTCCCCACGTGCTTCAAGGCCACCACCATCGTCCCCGTGCCCAAGAAGTCTTCTGTGTCCTGTCTCAATGACTACCGCCCTATCGCACTTACACCCACCATCATGAAGTGCTTCGAACGGCTCGTCATGAGACACATCAAGACCCTGCTGCCCCCCTCACTGGACCCAATGCAATTTGCATACCGCCATAACCGCTCAACGGACGACGCCATCTCCACTGCACTCCATCTTGCCCTGACACACTTGGACAAGAAGGACTCACACGTCCGAATGCTGTACATAGATTTCAGCTCAGCATTTAACACGATCATCCCCCAACAACTGATCGGAAAGCTGAGCCTGTTAGGCCTGAACACCTCCCTCTGCAACTGGATCCTGGACTTTCTGACCGGAAGGCCTCAGTCAGTACGGATCGGGAACTGCACCTCCAGCACCACCACACTGAGCACTGGGGCCCCACAAGGCTGTGTGCTCAGTCCTCTGCTGTTCACACTGCTGACTCATGACTGTGTAGCAACACACAGTTCAAATCACATCATTAAATTCGCTGATGACACGACCGTGGTGGGTCTCATTAGCAAGAACGACGAGTCAGCGTACAGAGAGGAAGTGCAGAGACTAACGGACTGGTGTAAGGACAACAACCTGTCTCTGAATGTTGACAAGACAAAAGAGATGGTTGTTGACTTTAGGAGGACACGAGGCGACCACTCACCGCTGAGCATCAACGGCTCCTCTGTGGAGATCGTTGACAGCACCAAATTCCTGGGTGTACACCTGGAGAAGGACCTCGGCTGGTCCCTCAACACCAGCTCCCTGCACAAGAAAGCCCAACAGCATCTCTTCTTTCTGAGAAGACTGAGAAAGGCCCGGCTTCCACCACCGATCCTGACCACCTTCTATAGAGGAACTATTGAGAGCATCCTGAGCGGCTGCATCACTGTCTGGTTTGGAGCTTTGCCATATCAGACCGCAAGACCCTACAGCGGATAGTGGGAACAGCAGAGAAGATCATCGGGGTCTCTCTACCCTCTATTGAGGACATCTACACCACACGCTGCATTCGCAAAGCCACCAGCATTGTGGCTGATCGGACACACCCCTCTCACACACTCTTTACACTCCTGCCATCTGGAAAAAGGTACCGAAGCATTCGGGCACGCACATCCAGACTGTGCAACAGCTTTTTTCCACAAGCCATCCGTCTCCTCAGCAAAAAGGGACTGACTGATAAACACGCACACACACACATACACTAACATTATCACTCAGCTTAACTCAAATACCTCAAAACATTGAGACTGGACTGACTAACCAACACAAAGCGCAAACACACTGACCTACACCACCAAACCATCGCACACACCAACCTGTAAATGCTCTTTTGCACAATATTATTACTAGATATATATATATTTTTTTTTTTTTTTTTTTGCACTAACTTGTCTTGTAGCACCTTGGTTCCTGGAGGAACGTTGTTTCGCCTCACTGTGTATTTTTAAACTGTATATGGTTGAAGTGACAATAAAGTTGAACTTGGACTTGAACTTGGACTTGGACTTGAAGACCAGAAAATTGCACCACACAGTCTGTCTCAAGAAGTTTCTTAACTGTGTTGAATCTGTTGACTTTGTGGATCTTCCCTTTTCCTTTTTTTTTTTTAAATAATTTTTCGTCTTCTCCCTCATGCTCTTTATAATGTGTCTTTTCATATTTTTTTTAACAATGTATTTGCATGTTTTTCTTTTTCTGTTGCCCTTTAAGCATAATTTTTTACCTAAACAGTTCCAGATAAACTTTGAATGACTACTGTCTCCTTGCCGAAAGATATGAAAACAATATCATGGTGTGCAGAAAGCTTCTTGCTAGCATCTTGTCAGAGTGGACACACAGTGCATACAGGATATGGACTCATGAAGCACATGGTGACAGTTACAGCGTTTTAATAAAGTAATGCAACTAACATTTTAACAGCATGAAGGTGCTCCTCCAGTGTAACTATTTTTGGTGTACTGCCTACATGTTCACTGACATACCAGTTACCATCCTTTGGTTTCAAAAAGGTGTAACAGTCAACCTCAACATAATGATGAGTCATGAACCAAAACAGGTTTGCAGGACTGGATCACAAAAAAATTGCAAAGCATGTATCCTTGGCTGTTTAACAGAAAAAGACACAAATTACAGTATTTTTACTCAAACTACCCTACATCCATTTAGGCCTGTAAAACAGATAAATTCATACTACATATACATTTTCTCTTTCAGGGTTAAAGAACAAAACAAAACAACCTGACAGTAAACGTAGCCAATTAAGTATAACACATAAATTGTGCCCTAAAGCTAATAAATACATATATTAAGAAAAACAATGTGAATGCTAATACTGAATATTTGCTTCCTTAGTCAGCTGTTTTACATTCATTTTGGGAAATGTATTTGTATTCCTTGGCAAAAAGTGTGCATGAGGATTCCACTCATGCATCAAGTATGCAGCTAAAGCCAAGAAAACATTAGCACTGTTTGGTTATGACAACTAGAAACTGGGAAATCTGCTAACACTTACCTCTACTCGTCAATATTTAACAGATTTAATCTAGGTGTGTTAAATCCTTGCACAAACATAAAAAACTGTTTTGCACAATTGCTACGAATAGCACCTGTGACACTGCACAGATGTGTAAGGTGAACTGATAAACTGGGGTTTCATCAGCAACTACTGATGATGGCACATCATTATCTATAGCAAGTTTAGCTGGCCTTTCTGCTGGTTCTAGTTTCATACTTAATGGCAAAGAGAACTGAGTTATTATAATGTGTTCTTTTGCAAATTACTCAGGTGTCATATTACTTTGTCTTTTGCTGCAACTTTCCTCACTTTGTCACTTGCGGCATTTTCACACCTATAGGTGTTTGACTCTGGTCTGCATCACTTTTTTTCACATTTTTTTTTTTTTTTTCACACAGAAAAAATCTCTAAATGAACTCCAAGAGAAATATAATATTCTGCTTATCACCACTGGTGTAAAACACTCTTAAATGTGATTTGGATCAGCTAGACAGCCCGTTAGTAATCTATGCATTCCTATCTCCACACCATCAAGCTAGCCAAAGCTTTGTTCCCATTTCACTTAATGTGTGCCAGCACTGAAGATGATTTGTCCTATAATGTAGCTATTTACACTGATGCAGCCTGGAAGCTGACTGATCATTCTCCTGGCTGTTAGCTAACGTGGGGCTAAAAAGAGGTGCAGTCACTGCTGAGGAGTTTGAAACTGAATTAATGTGAGTACTAGTCCCTACTGCCATTGGAGCAGTAGCTGCAGGGTAAAAATGGACATCAACAGCTACTGTGGTGAGGCCCACAGAGACGTTGTGAGACAGCAACAGTGGAGGGTTGCCATGTGAAATGCTGAGACTGTGGTGGATAGGTGCAACGCATGGCTCAGCACTCTGCAGTGTTAAAGAAGAGTGCACGCTTTCCTCCCGCCTGGATGGTGGTGATGGGGAAGGAGAACGGGAGATTAAGGGTGAGGGAGGAGGCAACGTGTCCTGGCATGGGCTTTGGTTGTCTCCTCTGTTACTGGTCCAATCCTCAGTACAGTGCACCTGAATGCTGGGCTGGGACAAACTGCACCCTTTCTCCTCCTCCAGAGAAGGATCAGTCTGAAAGTAGAGAGGATTTGTTAATAATAACATAGGGAAAAATGTTTAAAATGCAGTGAAATCATTACACTGTTGCCACATTGTTATCTTTAAAGACAACTCTGATGATTGAGCATTTTATTACTATAAGGCTGTTGGTTTAGTCCTTGCATGTGCCAGTTTAAATTAAATGGAGACATCAGCACTGTTTTCAGTGCAGTACTTTTTTTTATTATCTTAATGGTTTGTTCTTTTTATTAAACTGTGCAAACTGTGACCGTTTGTACACTTATATAGGGTTTTAGCTCCCCCTATAGGTTATATAGTATGCCACAGTTGTTAGTTAAATAAACGAAGCTGGATATGCTGTTTTCATAACTAAATATAATAATTTCTAATATTTATCATTAACAGTGTGACCCATCCAACCATCCTCTTCCAGTTATCCAGGCTGGATGGAGTGGGTTGAGATGAGTTTCAGGGGTGATTTGTGACAGAAGGATCGCAGCAAGAGGCAGCAATCAGGTTTTTATCTTCTATGTAAAGCATATGTGCTATTTAAATAAAATTATCATTGCCAAGAGGGAAAGCACTGACAAAAAGACAAGAGGCAGAGCGAGAGGTGGTAGACGTGAAGATGCTCAAATTTTGACTGAGAGTTACCAGGACAAAATTTGAAATGAGTATATTGGAGGGACAGCTCAGGTTGACCAGTTTGGAGACAAAGTTAGAGAGGGTAGGGTGAGATAGTTTGGATATGTGCAGAGGAGGGATAGTCAATATAGTAAGCAAAATATGTTAGTATTTTATGTTAATATGGAGCTGTCAGGCAGGAAGAAAAGGGGAAGACCCTAGAGAAAATTCATGGAGGTAGTGAAAGAGGACATAAAGAAGGTTGGAGGATGTAAGGGATGGGCTGAGATAGAGGCAGATGATCTGCTGTGTTGACCGCCTAAGAAGTCCAAAGAAGAAGAAGAATCATCAGTGGTTGTTCTGGACCCTATCCCAGCTGTCACAGGGTGAGAGGTGGGGCACACCTTGGATAGGTCACTAGTCTATCTAGTCTATCAGAAGGCCGGAGAACATGCACACTCCAAGATCCACACAGAAAGGCTGTTGCTGTGGCTCGGTGGATTCAATCCCAGGACCTTCTTGCTGTGGGACAATGGTGCTGACCACCATACTATTGGGTTGCCTCAATAAATTTGTAACTTTCTTAACTTCCCCTTAAACACGGATAAAAATGTCTGGATACATTTTTTTATGGTAAAGTGTTTCTGTGTTACCAGACCTTGATGTCAAGAATAGGCTCAGGGTACGTCTCTACAGTGACTGAGTGGTTGTCCAGAGAGCGCTGGGTATCCTCTTGTAGTTCATCAAACGTGCTCTCCATCTGCACCGTAACCAAGCTGGGCCCTGGGGGTCTGGCTCTGGTTTCTGATGTGTTGGGGCTCTGTTCAATCACTGCAACACAGTCGTCATCTTCAAACGCTCTGCATAAGACATACAACACTTGGTATTAGAATGCAGAAAGATGGGTTGTGAAGGATAATTTATTTTTCTATTCTGAGAAGTAGAGTACCTGTTTTCATACGTACGTCCTGCTGCTCGACGTTCAGCATGTCGTATGGGAACACCTAAATTCCTCTGAGCTGTCAAAGACATGTAATGTGGTTTTGACGTAATAATAAAAAGTAACATTTGGGTTAAAATGCTCTACATATGTGCTTTCTGGTAGAGTGACACAAGTGGATCAATTACCTGTTTAAAATAAAGCTAATTTAGCTTACCTTGGCAAAAAGATATAAGAGGTAACCAGACTGTGTTCAGTGTTAAAAATTCATCTGAAAGCACATGTAGAGCTCAGTTATTATTATGTTATATCATTTTTGTTTGAGCCAAGTATATATGGAAAACCTGCAGTTCTTTAAATGGCCACTTGAGGGTGGCTCTTTAAGCGAGTTAATTCATAAACAAGTCAATGTTAAAATGTCCAATGTATTGAAAGTCAAAATACAAATGTTCACTTCCTAAGTAAATTTAAACTATAAACTAAATTATAGTTTAATTTTACTAGCCAAACCTAGCACTCTAATACACAGTTAATTACAACTTGTTACACTAGCACCTCACTTGCTAGCCAGTGCAGTGTTGGTTAATAACTTTCTATCAATTCCATCAAGATCCATTCTCTTTCACTTATCCAATGCAGGGTCGAGGGTGGGCTGGAGTCTATCCCAGCTACCATAGGGTGAGAGGTGGGGTACTCCCTGGACAGATCACCAGACTGTCGCAGCCTCACCACCCCAATCATTTCGATTTTGCCAAAATATGGTCATGATTTTAGGAAAACCAAGACACTAGCATTTCATGCAGGGCGGATTGCTGACCTGCTCGGCTTGTTGGTGCGGGTTCATTCTTTTGTACCACAGAATAGAAGGTAACAGTGATAAAGATGAAAGCCAAAGATACACCCACTCCCACCACAATGGGGATGTCATGTTTTTCCAGCACAGGCAGCCATGATGGTGATTGCTGCTTCACTCTGAAATGGAGAAGATAGTGACTTATTGATGTTTTATTACTTTTGTTCCCTAAATGTAATAAACTCAGGTGAAATATTTATCAATCTATCATATTTTTATTTTGCCTACCTGGGATCATTGCTAGTCATGGGTGACTGGGAAGTGTTCCTTTTCAACCAGTCTGTGAGCTCTGGCTGAACTGGATGACTTTCATGAGTAGTATTCAGCCAATGTGACCTGTTGACCTGTTGGACTACCTCAGCGTCTAACAATGAAGGATGGAGTGACTGATCTGAAGGGCGGATGGTGGAGAATGGAAGCTGTGAATTTTGTGTTGGAGATGATTCAGGTTGGGTTTGAGAAAGTTTGGAACTGGCTGAAGGTGTTGTTGTTGAAAGATGAATTTCGGATATTGGAGGCGTGGGGATTAAAGAAGATGGAAGTTCTGTTGAAGGCAGATTATACTGAATTGTAGAAAGCTCAAGATGAAACTTTGGTAAAAAACTTAAGGTAGAGGAGTGTTGAGGATCAGTTTGAGTTGTTTGTGAGAGGGTTGGTGAAGGTTGCAAAGGCTGAAATGATGATGTTTTGTAGGCAACTGTCAGGGTGACTGAATCGGAGTGTCTCATCTTAGCGTGGGTAACAGGATTTGGTGTTGGAGTTGCCATGAAGGGGTCCAATTTTAGAAAGCCAAAAGGTCCAGTAACACGTAGCTGAGATGGTTGCTGAGTTACTGATGTCTCTGCAATTTGATTAACTTGAGGCACAGAATGGTCCTGAGAACTGGGCACTATAAACAACTTGTTACTGGCTGAATGCTGAAATTTTGATGGCATTTGTCTCAAATGGGATCGACTTTCACTGAATGAATGCTGAAGGGTTTCGACCAACACTCCACTGGTTACTTCAGGTGCCAGGCTCTGTGTTGCAGCTGGTTCACTGTGTGAAATAAAATGTGGTTTAATGGTCATTGGTACTTGGGTGTGTAGAGCTTCTGATTGGAGGTTCAGGTGAAGAGGAGGCTTGATCTGACTGAGTAACGACTGGGTAGAATTGGTTGTTGGCTGTTTCAAATGGTGATGTAAAACATGGGCAAGGGTCCTCAATGGCATATCTAGCTCAGCCCCGGCTTTTCTTAAAAATGTTGGAAGTGTAGTTGCACTGACTGGGTTGGTACCTGTAAATATTAAAAAAAGAGTTTGTGCTTTATTTTCTTTAATATATCCTAAACAATTTTATGTTGTGTGTTATTATTATGTGTCATTCAGAGGAAAAAAAAATCTGATTTCATCTGAAGGGATCCAGCCATACAAAATGTAAGCAGTTCGATTAGTAACGTGCGCACCAGAATAATGCCTCTCATAATTGTTGCTTTACATTTATATTTACTAATATTTCTTGTAACTGAATCATAAAGTAGCATTAACATAACACAGACACAAAAATATGATTTATTACTTTTTTAAACAAAATATTTCCATGTCAATTTTGAAATCTGAGCAGAAAAAACTCCTGCAGCTCTTATAGCAGGATTATTTGGCATTTAGCATTTTTTTTTTAGCTTTTGGATGTCCTGACACATCTTTTTTGTCTTGTGGCAATGGTAACAGACACAAAATTGAAATGATACCTTTATCCTGGAAAGTTTGTGAGAACTTCTGGTTACCCAACTTCTAACTCTACCATCGCCTGATCTGAATCCCTCTTTGTGACCAATTTTACCTAGCAACTGCCAGCAACCACTAAAAACTTCCAAAAACCACTCACCAGCTGATCTGGGAATACACATTTTTCCTTAGTGACCTGTGGTTGCCAGGGGTAGTCACTGACTGGTCTCTAGGCCTGTATGACTGAGACCTTACCACTGCTTTCAGCCATATTCATTTTACCTTATAACCTTATAGCACCGTGTTTTAGCCTGTTAACTTGTAACTATATATTTGTTATGTTGAATGACCTACACAACACATGACTGGAGCTAAGTTTTTTTTTTTTAAATACATACATGTTGTCTCATTATGCTTTTCCTGTACATGTGGGTAACGTGTTGTTTTAAAGCGCTGCTCGGCTACTGAGTCGCTCCACTTGGAAGCTGGACGTTGTTCATTATCGCTGGTGCTCTAAAAAATATTCAAAACACTGATTATTTTCAGAGGAGACACATTTGACACAGTCAAAAACGAATAAGTCCATACACCAAATAATAAACAGGGGCAAACAATGCATGACCATCACATGATCTGTGCAAAAAAAATGCACTTAGAGAATTTGCAGCTTCTACACTGGAACTGCTTATGAAAATAAAACCAAGGTCTAGCAAAATGATTTGAGAACAAAATACATAAGCAAAGACTTCCACATCCTCAATACTCACAGCAGACAAAACCAGTCTTGTCCGTCTCCCTCTATCAGAAGGTCGATCTTCAGCATAAGACAAAGGATGACATGAAAGAGAATCAACAAGCAAAAGAAACTTGGGTATATGGGGTCAAAGAAGTATTTTGTTGTTTAAGTATGCACTGAACTTCACCCACTCTAAATGACCAGAAGACAGTTGCGAATTCCCCTGAGAGAAGTATCTGAGTGACCCACATTTATTATACTGATCCAAACATACACTGATAGTCATGAAAAACATCTCAATGTCCTGAAAAAACTAGTCTGACCCCTCACAAAGCCTTGATCTCAACACATTGGAGTCTGTCACTTCAATTAAATTGCCAAATTGTTCATACATTTTACATCTTCAGTTTTGTTCATAGAGCTTTACCATTGCATACCAAATGCAGGTATGATTTTAGTAATATTGCCACTGAGAAGAAATAACACGAGGTGGTAAATCAACACACCTGTGATGATGAGGATCATCCGTTTCTGATGTCGTCCTGCTCGGTTCTCAGCAGTGCAGTAATACTCTCCTGCATCAGAGTACTGCACACTGGAAATATGCAGGGACCCATCTTCTGCAGGCCAGAAGACAAAACATTATAAAACACAAAGAGCTGAGATCTCACATACCGTTTAGAAATTAGAAAAAAAATTCCTGTATACTTCCATCTCTGCCGAGAATGCTACTTATTTTATATGCTGAAAACAACTCCAAATGATGGACCTGGTGATTAAAATAAATGTTAAGAAAGTTCAAGCTGCAGCAACACTTGTGGTATATAGAACAACTCTACTGCTTGACTGGATCTGTGGCCTTAATCAGGGTCATCAAACAATAAAGTTGTTCTATGTGTTACATTAACTTATTCAGATTTTATTCTCTTCTACATACCTATGAAGTAGGGGACGTTGTGCCTGAAACGGTTACTCTGTTTTCATGATGAAAAGTAATGCAGAATGACTCCAGACAAACTAGACTCACCATCTATGTGTCTGCCTTCGGTGGTACTGATAGGGGACTGTGGCTCTGTTCTGCCCCTCGTCCAGGTGTATGTGATAGGGAGAATCCCCATTGCTCTGCAGGGCAGGACCACTAAAGTCCCAATCGTGTAGGTCACCTGATCTTTAAAGACCACTATTAAAGGGCTCACTGGCCCAAGCAGAGGGGAAAATTGAAAAGACAATATCAAAAAAGTCACATAAAGCTCATAGATCATAGAAGTGCCTTAAAGAAATAACACATACAAGAACTGTTCCCCTATAAAGATTTTAGTAACTATGTAAAATTTTGAGGACACGGTATGTTCTGCTACCTGGACTATGACTCTTTAGAATTAGTTTATGAAACTAGCAATGTGTGCAGATGGCAAATAAAATGACAATTTCATTCAAATGGTCTGTTACTTTGATCACATTTGCAAGACTGGATTTCAAGGTGATCTCCATGTCCTTTAATTTCAAATTTGTAAGACGTTTGTACTACACAAGAAGAATTTCTCAGTTTCTTTCCTGTGTATAATTCAGTTCTTTTAGAAGGACCTTGGTTGCGAGCATGTACTTTTCTATAATAGCAACAGGTTTTTTCTTTTCTTTTCTTTAATGCATTTCAGCTTAATACCTATTAGATAATTATTCATGATTTTTCATTTTTGCAGCCTAGTTTTCCTGCACTCTCAAAACAACACAGTACAGCTGACATGTTAAAATGAATGATCACACACACTTGTTGATCTGCCAATGAGGACCACGCCCATGCTTTGATAATATTATGTACACTATATGAAGATACCTTATAGGGAATTACAAATTCACTGCAACTTAAAAGCAATATTAAATAGGGGCATAAAGCAGAGGGACAACAATCCCTTTGCCTTCCAGGCTAGGGTTTGCTTTATTTAGTACACTTATCAGTGGGTCAGACCAAACTCATATCTAAATCCTCACCTTCATTATGTTCTAAAAGGTTTGCATTAACAAGAACATATCTGTCATCATACTTAGTATTGAACCAACCACAACATCTAAAGCAGGGGTAGGCAACTCCAGGCCTCGAGTGCCGGTATCCTGGAGGTTTTAGATTTGTCCATGATCCATCACAGCTGATTTAAAGGGCTAAATGACTCCTCAGCATTTCTTGAAGTTCTCCAGAGGTCTGTTAATGAACTAATCATTTGATTCATGTGTGTTAACCCAGGGTGGGATCTAAAACCTGCAGGACACCGGCACTCGAGGCCTGGAGTTGCCTACCCCTGATCTAAAGTGTATAAATGCTTAGTAAGTATCAGGCACATGCTCCTGACTTGACTTTGACTCGTCTATTGATCTGAGGAGTAAATACATTGCAAAACAGCAAGGTTTAAAATTTACCAGCAACTCTCAGGAGTGCTGTGCCATGGCTTTGTCCCAGTGTGTTGGATGCCTCGCACACATACACCCCCTCATCGTAGCTCCGGACTGACTGGATGTAGAGAGTGGCATTTCTCTGTCTGAATAGGAAACATGAAAGCTGCCATATATTATGAACTGCTTGTATACAAAATTTTCAAAAAGTCAGAACACTGTAACTTACCCCAATGCAATTTTGCCTCCTGTCTGCTTGGTGTGGCCTCTTTTCATCCAGCTGATGGACGGTAAAGGGTGGCCAGACACCTGACATTCCAGCACCACCTGAGCACCCAAAGGCACCGTCAATACCTGGGGCCATAGCTTGACGGATGGAGGGGCTGCCAGGAAGGGAAAGCACTGTCTGGAATATTATTATGCACCTATACATGTATATATATATGTATATATACATATATACATTTCCAGTGAGATAGTAGGGAGGGCTGCCAGATGTCATACCCAAAACACTGAGTGTTGCTCGTCTCGAGGTAAGAAATCTTTGAAGATGGGTGTTTGAGGCCCTGCAGAAGTAGCTGCCACTATCGTGCTCCTGCACACTACAGAGAAAATTATGAAAAGGGTCAGCAGAGCTTTTAAAAACAAAAATCAGCTGCCTGGAGCTGTATTTACAGGCACAATTTTATAACTCTATGACTTCATGTTAAGCGCTAAACATACTGTAAACAATGCAAATTAACTAAACTTTTTTAAAAGTTTTGGCCCAACCAGTTTTAATTTATACACAATTTTTGTGTTATATTTAATTTATCTAGTCATATAATGAGGCATGAACAATAAAGACCTGTGGATGAAGAGGTCTCCACTGGGCAGCATTGTTACATTTTCAGTGGGAGTGAGAAGCCGGTTGTTTTTAAACCAGGACACCTGCGCTGCTGGTCTGCTGTACGGAGGCCTACAGGTTACCGTAACATTTTTGCCGCTCTTCACCGTTAGATTTGTGGGCTGCTGCACAAAACTCCAGTCCATTTCTGTAAACACAAAATGTAAATCACTAATAAGTTTGGACATCTGCTCTTATTGGATTTTGCTGATTTTTACAGCATGGAATCTGCTGAAGCAGAAACCTAAACGGTTTTAACAAGGCAATTCACTTGCTTGAGTTAAACAGTTCAGAGTTTACAATACCAGCTGGAAGTAGGAAGGCTGGCTGCGACCTGATTGTCTCTTTCTGGTTTGATGCTTCACAGTGATATGAGCCCTCATGCTCCTTGCTCACATTTCTGGAGAAGACAAACACAAAAAATATTTTAAATGTAATTTTAACATTTAGGGATTCTTTTTGATTTTGTTTGCTTTTTTTTTTTTTCTTAGCCAGTTTAGAAACCAGTTTAGAAACACTAATTAATATTTGAACTGTGGGAGGAAGCCAGAGTTCCTGGAGGGAATCCCCCAGTGGCAGATTCAAACACAACAGTCTTGTTGTGAGGCAACCCTGCAGGGAATACAGAATATTTACAGAAATGTCTTCTTTCTCTAAAACACCCAATCTTTATCCTTCCTCTTTAGCCTTCCTTCTTTTATGCACCAGTAAGAACCAGAAACTATTATAATTGTACCAGAAGAAAAAAGACAAAATCTTTGACTGTATCATCAACTGTCAACCACAGTTGGAGTTAAACAATAAAGAATTAATATTCCTGTTCTGCCATGCAGTGTTGGACCTGAATGTGAGCAGCTGTCCATTGTTTTGGAGGCTGAACGAGCCGGAGCAGTTCATCAGGAGGCACCCGTCTTTGAACCAGTGCACCATGGGAACAGGGAAGCCGAGAACACTGCAGTGCATGGAGACTTCAGTTCCTATAGCAACAGTGATGTTGTCAGGGCCCTGGATGAACTGCAGCCTCCGAGGGACCCCTGCAAGGCGGACAGTCACAGTAAGATACTAACCCTCTGCAAACACACACAAGTATGATAAATTAGTTTAGTTTTTTTTTAATTAAAGCAGTATTTTTGTTAAAACCAGAGAGCTCAGGATTTATATTTAATAAACTCTCCTGGATCAGCTGCAATTTGAAAATTTGTCAGTGTGAATTAAAGAAAAAGCCTCACCCTGCACAGTAAGTCTGGCTTGTCTGCTCTTCTTGCTGATGTTCAGTGAAGGATTGTGTGTGACACAAACGTAAACCCCTTCATCTTCTAATGTTACGTTGAAAAGATGAAGAGTGCCTGACGTTTTCTTCTGGTGCCCACCTCCATATTCACCCTGAGCAGGATGACACATACAGTATGGAAAATATGTCCAATATCAAAGTTAAAAGAAACAACGTGTATTTTTCTGTTTTATTTTTGCCCTGAGTGAAATAAAAAGTGTTTTTTCTCATGAGGCTTTCAGAGTCTCCTTGAGGTTTGTGAGTTCTTCAAATCAATTTCTATTTGTAAGGTTGCCCAGCATTTAAGTCAGCACTGTGTTCTGTGTACAAGCTCTGCAGACAGAAAATTTTGCACCTACAAAAAAATTGCTATAGCAGTTTCAGTAAATGCTGTTTTAAAAAAAAGAAAAAGAAAAATCAGGGTAATCAAACTCCTAATCAATTAGTTTTTTTATATAATGAAGACGCCCAAGAGAGAAACTACAGCCTGATCTGATTATAGTAGTTTCCAGCAGTGCAGGTGGATGCCTTACACATGAAATTTATGTCCAACCATCAAGTTGAGGCTCAAACCATGGCTTTAAAATTCACAAGAAAACTGTTAAAAACATGAATTTGAGAGTGAAATTGGCCTTTCTTTAGCCTGGATTTCTCTAAACTGCAGAAGAAATGCAAAGTGTAAAAACTGTTCTCCACTCTATGCCTGATTATTGTCTTGGAGTCTAATGGAGACTGTTACTACATTAATATCTACCAGATATATTTACTGCTTTTTGTCCTACTCTGCAAGAAAGTAGTCTTTGATGCCCTTCTAAAATCTGAAGTTGTTTTTTACCTGAATCTGTCTACCTCTTGTGACCACCTTTCCATCTTTGAGCCATGTGATGCTTGCAGGAGGTGAACTCTCCCCTGATACACACCGGAGGAAAACTCCCTCTCCTTCTCTGACTGTCTGGTCCTGCGGACTGAAGAAAACATCCTCCAAACCTGGAACACACACAGTGTATCCATTCAGTGTGCTTTGAATATGTTACTCAATATTTTATCCAGCACTAGTGGAAGTATTCAAAATATTTACTTAAGTAAAAGTATTGATATCACAGATATGGTCAGGCGAATGTTAAACTAAAACTGTTAAGCCTTACACTGCATCATCAGTTTGATATAAATGATGTGTCCATGTTGTTTTGCAGGGGACACCAACTAATGGTTATTTTCTTACTTGAATAGTAATAAATTGCTAATTTGCTGATATATTTCTTCAATCAGCAAATACAGATGATAAAATGTGAGCAACTTATCAATTTTACCCACAGCTGATAGTATCACTGTTGCTGAACCAGAAGTTAAAGCTTTAGTTTATTAGTAATTTCAATATTTGAACAGGATGGTAAAGGCATCTTCTTTAAAAAACCGGAACTATTAGTACTAGTAGTAGTAGTTTTATTATTAGTATATACATTTAAGAGTATATTCTCATGAGAGAATATGTCAGTTGCATGATTGTTTCCTTTTTTGTTTAAAAGTTTAAAAGTCATTATAAATGTAGTGTAAAATAATCCTCTGGAAGAAGAATAAGTGTAAAGTGCCATAACAGGCTACAGCACAAGTACATCTAAGCTTTACTTAAGCACAGTGCTACCACATTTCAACATTTTAATAAAAAAAAATTGTTATTTTTTTTTAATTTAGTGGCATTTTTATTGACCAACAACCCTTCTTTTGACTTTATCTCGTGGCCAAACTCAATAAAAACAAAAGAGTAGATGGACTCACCAAACTGGGATGAGACTGCCAAGCCAGACAGGATGAGTAAGCAAAGATGGGAAGTCATCTGTGGGAGCAAACAGATGGAGACACACACTTGCATCCTATTGCCGAGCTCCATGGGAGCCACTCGGAGACCATCCTGCAGCTTCATCCATGGTGTCAGCTGGAAGAGTGTGCACACATAAAGGAGCTCTTATTTCTCTTTACTTACTATCACTGATGGAGACTGCACATTTACTGGCAGCACTGAGGTGTGTGATCTTCATTTGGCAACAGACACGCTAAAAAGGATCTTCAAAGCATCTCTGCAGCAGAGGCGATGCATGCTGTGTATCGCGAACTGCAAAGGGTTAAGTTTAAGGAGGAGACAGAAGCAAAACGTGACTATAAACGGTTATGTTGTTCTGAAGGGGTTTTTATCAGCTCTGTAGTGCTGTTGTTAAGCTACATGCAGACACACAAGAAAGCAATCAAATAGGTTTTTATAACACAAAGTTATCAACCAGTAAAAAAATTTGGGGGGATGAGGGATGAGGTTCAGTTTGGATAAATATACTGACACAAAACTGAGTAAACCTACTCAGTTATATTAACATGGTGTAACTTTTATATTAATGTTGTCCTTTTGATTTAGTATTAAAATAATGACCCATTGTTAGACACAGTGGGTTAGCTCATACCCAAGACATCACTTACCATTAACAGGCAGTAGTACATAGCATCATATACTTCCAACTTTTAAATAACCAGAATATTTATTCATATTTTAAGGCAGTAATTCTCAGATTTTAAGTGTTCAATCTGATGTAAAAATATATGATAGTGTTCCAGAGATTCTCCACAGTGATATGACTTTTATTTTCATACACTACACACCACAGAGACTGAACCTGGTGTTGCATAGAACCATTTCTCATCAGTTTCCAGTAAATATATTCAGCAGATTAATTTAAAATCCCTCCCTCTCTCCCTCTCTTTCTGTTAACAGCCTCCCCTCCCTTTCCCCCTCTGCTTCATTCCTATTTTGGTTGTGAGTCTGTGGTGCCGCAGTGAGCTCAGCTTTGTCCTCTTTAGTCCCTTGAATGGGCCCAGCCACTTTATAGAGCTCGCACCGTGGCCCTCCACTCAATGAAAGTGACATGAAAAGAGGCTGCGGAGCTTTGTACTGTAAAGATCAGTTATTGGTCCCTGCGAGGACAGCTACCCGTCTGATCGTATAGGCTTTCATGATCCTCAGTATGGCCATGTAAGGGCTCACCCTTTATTATTTGAATGTGATGATGAAGTTCCACGAGTGAACAATTATAGTATATAGTTAAAGCCAGACAGTGACAAAGTCAAAAAGCTAATAATGGATACATTTATTAGTATTTTGGGGATGATTTTTTAAGACAACCTCTGTATATAAAAAGCAGACTGCTCATGAATATATTAAAAAAAATCAGAAAATACATTTTAAAAAATACAAATGATTAAGCGGAGCTTGATGTCTGGTCTACTGCCATTAAATTATTGCCGAAGAGTGAGCCATAAGAAAACCAAACGGCGAACAAGCATCAGGAAGCAACTAACTTGAAATAAAAATCAAAACAGTTCTATGATAATATTGACAGTGCCCGATTTTGCAAATTTGTCAAGAACACAACGCAATGAAAAAGTAGCAGATGAGACATTGGAGAGAGTTCACAGAAAATCGTATTCTAGGATTTTTCCTAGAATCACCAAAAAAGAAGACTCAGCAACAATGTTTCTTTCCACAATTCCTGATCTAGCTGCACAAAATAATAGTTCTAAGCAGATGGATTGGTCTACGTATTTCAGAAACTGTGGAACTCCCACACAACCATCTCTAGGGTTTGCAGAGAAAAAAGAGAAAATATCCAATGAGCAGCAGTTGCTTGGGTAAAAATGCCTTTTTGATGCCAGAAGTCAGAGCAGAATGGCCAGACTGCTTGACGCTGATAGTAAGACAATAGTAACTCAAATAACCACTTACTGTAAAATGACAGGATGCAGAAGAGCATCTCTGAACGCACAACACAGGAAAACGCACAACAGGAAAATGACGGTACAATTTATTCGAGCTATCGAAATTTGGACAATAGAAGATTATCATGACCTGATGAATCTCATTTTCTTCTGTGACATTTGGGACAGAATTTGGGATAAGAAATATGAAAGCCTTGTATCAACAGTTCAGGCTGGTGGTGTAATGGCGTGGGGGAGATTTCCTGGCGCACAAACTGAGCATCGTTCAAACACCACAGCCTGTCTGAGAATTGTTACTGACCATGTCTGAAAGCAGCCATGTTTAACACACCATGTCACAAAACTCGAATCATTTAAAAACTGCTTTGAACATGACATTGACTCACTGTACTCAAATGGCCTGCACAGTAGATTCAAAATTCAAGAAGTAATTGTATCTGGAACCTACAGAGCACCCTTGGAATGAATCAAGGGTGAATCAATGAATGAATCAATCTACATCAGCATGTTTAAGGAATGTTTCCAAACCCCTCATTGAATCTGTGCAACAAAGAGTTAAGGCTGCTCTAAAGCCAAAAGGGATGTGACCCTGTATAAGCAAAATGTACCTAATAAAGTGGTCAGTGAGCTTATTTTTACGAACTGATCCACCAACTGCAAAAAAAGAGGAAAAAAAAAACGGGAAGCTAGCAATTGCAGTTCAGCTTTGTGCCACAGACTTACTTTCCCGTTTCTTAGAAAGAAAACTGAAACTAAGTGAAACCGCTCAGCAGTAAGTAACCAGGCGAGTGCTTTCTGGTTCCATTACACTCTACAGTTGATATCTCCATACTGGACAATATAAACCAAAAGCGGTGTGAATGGACAAACAGAACTACATGCCAAAAAAAAGAAGAAAAAAAAAACTATCAGTAAATTTAGTTTTATAATTATCACCTCAATTGCTTCTGAAGAACAAAAGAAATCACCAGTGATGATGTGCTTAAAGCAATGACAAAACAGACATTAGTACATTAGCCATCACTGCTGGTGAGTTCAGCGGGGCTACGGGCTGCTTATACTCACATAATGCTAAGAGCCCGGGGGTGTGTATTTGTTTGACTCACAAGGCTCACAATAGATCATTTACACTGTTTAGCATGTCATTAAGATGTTTCTAGCCCACACACTCACTTGTAAGCTTCCTTTCTACAGACAACATTTGGCACAAACACTGAATTTCTGTCACCACCACTGAGTGACACCAGAGTGAGATTTTTGGCCCCGCACTGTGTGGCACTACATAGAAACATTAATGATCCAGGTGATGATGTAGCAGTCAGTTCACGGTTGGTAAAATAAGATGTTATAGCTCAGGTTTGTATGAGGAGCTGTGACTGTAGTATGGTTTTAAATGGACATAAGTTAAATCACATGATCAGCTTCCAAGATGATAACTTTTGCTCATCTTTTAACAGTAATTCACATGTTCTGAGACATACAAGCAATACACAAACAGCTTTGCATTGTTTATGAAAAGCAACAATTACATATTACATGTAATAAATACAGTAGATTTAATATGATACCATGAGTTAATTCACTATTCCTACTTTTTTTATTGTTATGATTCCATTTATTTTATTACCTGCTGCCTACATCTCATCTTTTTCTTTGCTTATTGACACTTAAGACCATGCCTTCAGTAGATATACAATAGACATACAAATTCAGGACCTGTTGTGCAGCACAAGCACTTTCAGAAACTACAAAATTGCAGCTTTTAATGTGCTTTGATATTAAAAGCTAGTTTGATAGTTTAAAGGTACATGTTGTAAAAAATAAACTTCGGATACCCACACATGCTGTTTTCACAAGATTTCTATTAAAATGTATCCACCACAGGGTTAATGAAAGCTCATATAGAGAACTGATACTTACTCTAGAACAATTTTCTCTGCGCTGGTGCCCATTAATTTGCTCTCAGTCAGTTTCTGTGTGCCTCTGCTCTTTTCTCTCCTGATACATTTGCTGAGCTTCAAGCTGGGAGTGAACAGCAAGCAACAGCTCACATATTCTGGACACCCTCCACACCCACTTAACACACACAATCTGGCACACACACACACATACTCTGTGTTCTAATTCAACGCCATCAGCTATAATGAGACAAAAACCCCAGTTATTTAAATTATTAGTATGATCATAAAATGACACTAGTGCAAGGAACAATGTCAAGCAAAAATATCCACACGTTATAAAAAATAGTAGCTATGGTATTAAAACAGATGGATAGATTTAAAGACTTTGCATGAGTAGAGCACAAGTAAAAGTTTTTCCACTATAATATGCTGTCGATTCCCAAATAAGCTTAAATACTCTATATCTCTGTTCTTCCATTTCTTCTTTCAGCTGCTCTCTTTAAGAGTCACTACATTGGATTATCTGCCTCCATCTCACCCTGTCACTTGCATCGTCTTTGCTCACACCAACCCTCTGCATGTTCTCCTTCTCTCCATCCATTAAATTTTCTTCCTGCCTGGTAGCTCCATAATTCACATCATTTGTCCAATATATCTACTATTCCTCCTCCTCTAAACCATTTCAACCTCACTTCTCCAACTTTGTCTTCAAAACACTTCAAAGAGAATTGAAGTGATAAAACATCAGTTGCAACTATAAAGGTTTGACTTCTTATACCAGTGTCTGTATAATACAGCGACTGATTCTAATGAATGAACACCTTGCTTCACATGTGGCTACCATCCACACCAAATACCAGGAGGGATGCAGAAAGAGGTCAATGATTCACTAAAGCTACTTCAGCGGGACTCCGCAGTACCTAATCTCCTCCTTAGATTAACTAGGGGCCTTTCACTTGTTTTGTAAATGTGTAAATCACTTCTCAGATACCTGCTGAAATCAGCTTGCTGCTGTCTGAGTTTTGAGCATTGCTGGCACAATGTTGTCTAAGCTGACGTCACAGCAACACTTAATAAAGAGCACTATTTAGCTCGTTTAACATGCAAGAGGTGGTTGAACTGCTCCCTCTTAAATGTAGGTTAATGGGAATGATAATGACTGTTGCAACAGAATGCAATCAACCTATGTAGAGGATCTGAGTACTTAGGAAATAATTCCCTTTGATTTTAGTCAACCATATATTATATGCAAAAAATGGCTTTAAAATGATTAGTTCTGCCATTTGGTGAGACATGCTCAGATTGTTTGATGGACTCAAGATTTAAAGACAAATTTTGGAGCTGGAAGGAATTGAGTCCTAACTATGTGTGTAATCCCTTGAATTTGCCTGATGTTTTTAGTGGTATACGTCAGGAAATGCATTTTCATCACCCTTAGCTTTAAATTTGGTGCTAATTAGCATGCTAACAGGCCAAACTAAGGTGGTGAACAGCTAAACCTCAAACTTAAAAGAATAAGTAGCCTGAAAGGATACTTATGTCTTAAGAGTTGCTAACATAGCTTTAGACTATTAATGTTGCCTAATCCACAAAGTGACCAATATTTTATATTAAAAAAGGAGAACAACACAGAAACTGTCCATATGGTGGCTTCTGTCTCATTTATTCACAAGGACATGTCTACAGCCAAATACTGGGTCCAGATGAAGTCCTTGCAAATGTAAATTGGCAATCCATTCAGCATAATCAAATGGAAATGAAAGTACAAATGCACCGATTTATAATCTATGCAGGAGGGGTCATTTTAATTAAGCAGACAAAGCAGACGTAGCGGGTGAAATGTAACACTGTTGGATTCAGGACAACATCAAACACATAAATCCACCAAAGACTCTCATAGTCCCAGTTTTCCCACTGTGGCAGAACTGTGTTTAATGTAGATTCTAAAAGACACTCTGACTTTGCTCAACACTGAGCAAAAATGTTGATAACAGTTGAAGTGATGACATATTGATACATGAGCTATTGACTTAAGTATTGTATATATTGTATTTCCTTAGGACTGAAGGATGATGGATTTCTTCTTTCCAAACTGCATGTCTGCACAAACAAGATATAGAATTTGTATTGTATACATATTAATTCTAATATTTTTTTAATGTATTTTTTACATTTAGTACAACTATAGAACATCACATTACATTTCACAACACATATTACCTGCATAATAAACCATATTGTTTCAGTGCATAAGTTACTGTTTTGCAAAACACAAAAGGGCACAATAGCACAAACAAATGACAATTAGATTTGCAAGAAAATAAATACCACTCATTGCAGGGGATTGTATCTAGTCTAAAATGTTATCCAAACAAATTTCCACATCATTCTTAAGTAATTTTCTGTTTGTAAACACAATAAATATACCAATAAATAAATACAACCTGTGCAGTACCCTTTCTCTGCTTCTATATAAAAATACAGGAGGATGAAATATGACCTTAAAACTAAAATCTTTAGATTTATCTAAGGCCAAAAGGGGTGTGACCCAGTAGATAGATCTAAAATTAGATCTATCAAAATTTATCTTATCATTTTTATGCTGCTTTAACTGTGTTACCATGGTATCCCTTTTTTCATCATTTGACTTTTGTTTTGGTCGTTAAAGCCTGAGCTGAGTAAATCTGCAGATGTGTGTAGGTTGTTGAATAAGATGGTTATTTGTCCATTCATCTTAGTACAAGGCATTCATATATATCCTCAAGGGCTACCTTTATTTCATTTATGTCCAATTTTAGATCTAAAAGTCAATCTGATTTTTGATCCTGAACTTTAATGTAGGAAAATTTTCTTATTATAATGTGTCATATCTGTGTGAAAGTTTAATATGTTTGTTGGGTTGTTGGTCAAAGTCATGACAGCAGTGCCAGAAACATAACAGGTGAGAGGAGGAGGAAAACCGGAGTGATGAAGATGTGATCCGCTGCATCGTGGAGCTTGTTTAAACACAGGGCCTGCTCCAGCATTTGGTGGGTCTCAGCACTTATCCCTAAAGGACACAGTACAGAGTTTTTTTGTTGGGATAGAGACAACTAAGTGCTACAACAAAGTCTGCTCTGAAAACCAGAATTGGAGAGCTCACCATGTTGGGACCACTCCTTCCAGGCGTGCAGATATTCAGGGTCATGCTCCCCACCAGTAGCTATATTCAAATTTGATAAAAGTATCTATTAAGACTTTGTATTTTTGAAACTCTATCCACTTGTAACAAGAAAGCTCTGTTTTTACCTTTGGAGTGCTCAATCAGAAGATGTTTCAAATCCCTGAGAGCCCTGGTGAGGTTCTCCAGTTGGTGCTGCAGGTGGAGGTTTTCTTCTTTCAGAGTGTGGATGGTATCCTGGAGCTCGTAAGCTGAGCCGGAGTGTGAAAACAGAGAAATTATCCAAAGCACTGCGGTGACATGCATAATGGAGAACATTGTGGCAAATAATAAATGTGCTGTTGCTGGTCACAGTCCTGCTGAATCTCTCTTCAGCTGCAGAGTGCTTTAAAGTCAGGTGGAAGTGTTAATGTTATTGAGGAGCTGACTTGTTTCTGTGTCAGAATTGATTCACTGATGGGTAGTTAAATGCTCTTGGCCCGCTTACCCACTCAAATGGATCAATTGTTCTGTTTTGGATCTTAGAGCCCAAATTACAGACACGGATAGAGCTGGTTTGGAGTTAATAAACCTTCATCCTAAAGCAAAAAAACCAAACAAACAAAAAAAACAAAAACAAAAAGCACCTGTGAATTTGAGCAGTGCACTGAAGAAATTAAGTCAGTAAGTAGTTATCTCCTTAAACCTACTAATAGTCAGACAAATCTCTGTGTCTATATGACAGTTCGTCCCATCCACTTTAAACTTGGCAAGTGTATTCTTGGGGTCTTTTAAATGTGTCTTCCTTTATTTGGCTATCTTTGTGAGATTTGTGGATTCTCATTAGCTATATTTGTAACTTTTACAGCTAAGTGCCCAACCCTTTATCTTACCCTAACATAAATTTAATTTTAACTTGTCCCTTCACCCCAAAAAGACAATTCTTTCACAATTCTTCATTACTTTGCTTGCCTAAAACGAAACTGGTTCTCAAATGATTATTTATTTATGTATTTGTTGCTTTTGGTTTCCTGTAAATAAATAAAATACTTTTTATTTACTTATGCTATTTAGGTACGCTGCACTGAGCTGTGGCCACAAGGTGGTTGATGCCTGTCCTGGGGGTAACCCCCAAACCAGATGGTGGACACCAGAGGTAAAGGGAACCATCAGGCTGAAGAATGAGTCCTATTGGGCTTGGTTAGCCTGCAGAACTTCGCAGGCAGCCGATATATACCAACAGGCCAAGCGGAACACTGCCCAGGCAGTGGCAATAAGTTGGACGTGTTCCTGGTGGGTGTTGGACTCTGCCAGGGCTGCCCTTTGTCACCAATTGTGTTTCTAATTTTTATGGGCAGAATTTTTAGACGTAACCAAGTGGCGGAAGGCTTCCACTTGGGTGGTCTCCGAATCTCGTCTCTGCTTTTCTCACCTGATGTGGTTCTGTTGGCTTCATCAGGTTGTGGCCTCCAGCTTGCACTGGAGTGGTTCACAGCTGAGCGTGAAGCTGCGGGAATGAGAATCAGAACCTTTGAGTCTGATGCCATGGTCCTCAGCTGGAAAAGGTTTGAGTTATTGCCCCAAATGGAGGAGTTTAAGTATCTCGGGGTTTTGTTCACAAGTGAGGGGAGAGTGGAGTGTGAAATTAACTGACGGCTTGTGCTGCAGCTGCAATGATGCGGACGCTGTACCAGCCCATCATGGAAAAGAGAGGGCTGAGCGTAAAAGTGAAGCTCTCGATTTACCATTTGATGGTAAATCAAATGGTCAATCAAGCTTTGTGTAGTGACCGAAAGAACGAGATCGCAGATACGAGCAGCAAAATGAGCTTTCTCGTGCCACTGATGTGTGGCTGGACTCTCTCCTTTAGAGATAAGGTGAGTTCGGCCAGCCAGACGGGGCTCAGAGTAGAGCCACTATT